GGGAGGGACAGACAAGGAGGGAATAGGGAGTGGCTTGGAAAGAGAAGCAGTAACAGAACAAGCCATGAAAAGTTGTGTGGGAGACCTCTAGGGACCGTTTCAGCGTAAGATTGAGAAACAAGAAGCAAATCCGAAGTGAGTAAACCATTTTCATCAGTAATTTTCAAAATACGGATTTCTCATCATTGTGCTATAGAATTTTTAAAACGTGTACAGTGTGGCAACAAAATGGAATATTTAAAAAACACCCTCTATAAATGCAATGTCTTGATTAGCCACATGACAAATGTTAGTATCATTAATCACATCTGATAGGAAGCCTATTTCATCCTCATATGTCTGCACATGACAGACACAAACGCAGACTCATGTGGTTGTGTTACACTGGCCGACTGAGTACCGAAAGCCTCACTACTGTCAGGGTTGGGCTTTTCTAAAGTAGTGAACAACTGGTAAAATGTTGAACAAAACAAAGTACATTATTTCTTTTGTATGCATGCTACTTGCCATCCTGAAAAATTCAGTGAAAATTAAAAATGTGCAAAAAATTCTTTAGGTGATAATTATAATTTTTTTCATCTACATGAATGGATGTCTGGTGGGGTATTTGAAAGTCATGAGGGACATAGGGTCGTTTTACATCGCATGGGCCCATCTTGTATATTGCAGAACATCTAGCAGACCTGGTGCCCTTCAGAATGTACTAGCTGCATTCTCGTCAATGAGACAGCTCCTCACACTTTTGGAAAAGTCCCTGTGAGGGGACAATATCAGCTCCACTGAGCACTATGTAAAAGCCACTTAAAGGATTCTGCATTTTCCTGTTTTCCTGCCCCCTGCAGTTAGCACACTCATGATAACTTGTTCTTTGGCTTTCTTCTCTGACAGATTGAAGGTTCCGTAAGTCCAGGGAAAGTTGGCCTCATTTACCATTGTATCCCTCTGCATGGGCAATGCCAAACATATAGAAAACTTCCAAAAATTACTCACTGAATGAAGAAAAGGACGAAGGCAGGGCTTTGGGTTCCATTTACAGTCACCTTGGTAAGCCCCTTGGAGAGGTTATAACATTTGACTGGGGACCCACTTACCCCAGTTTGCTCAGGACAGTCCTAGTTTATACCAGTTGTCCTTCCATCTCATCTAGTTTTACATTTAAAAAAAATAAACATACCTACTTTTTTTGTTGTTTGTTTTTGGGAGAAAGAATCTTATTCTGTTGCTCCAGGCTAGAGTGCTATGACATCAGCCTAGCTCACAGCTATCTCAAACTGCTGCACAGGGAATGGCCTTTAAAAAAAAAGCAGGAAAAACATATTCTGTCTCCCCAACTTTTGGGGAACTGAAACCTGCATCCCTGCCTCAGGACGGTGGTCAGGAGGGGCAGGGAATGTCTCTTGTTCCTTGTGTTGTAGAAGTAGCTCAAGGCAATTCCTCTAGGTGGAGGTCACAAGATCTTCTTCTCCCAGATGGGGAGTAAATCCAAGTAGAGGCCATGAGATTGTCTTGGCCCAGGATAGGATTGTGGGATCAGAACCTTTAAACTCTCTGTGCTTCTGCTCAGAAGCAGGTGTTTGGATTTGGAACCATTGTCTGCCATTTTCCTTCTTTGCCAACAAAATAATAAACTTCTCTTTCCTTCTCTCAACCACTTACTCTTCTTTTTCTGATGTGGCTTCAGGGGACAAATGCTGAACTTTCAGTAATAATTTGGTTTAAGTGATCCTTCTGTCTCAGCCTCTCAAGTAGTTGGGGATTACAGGCACCTGCCACAATGCCTATCTAATTTTTTCTATTTTTAGTAGAGGGAGGGTCCTGCTCTTGCTCAGGCTGATCTCACGAACTCCTGAGCTCAAAGGATCCACCTACTGTGGCCTCCCAGAGAGCTGGGATTACAGGTATGAGATGCTGTGCCTAACCTAACTTTACTGTTGTAAACCATTTTAGAATAGGATTGGTTTGAATGTCTACAATTATAATTAATCCAATTTGTCAGTCAACTAGTGAATGTTTTTAAAATTAAATAATTTTATTTATTATTAGTACTCCCTTCCAGTCTCAAATGTGGCTCAGTGAGTAGGGTACTGGCCCCATATACCGAGGAAGGTGGGTTCAAACCTGGCCCCAGCCAAACTGCAACAAAAAAATAGCCAGGTGTGGTGGGGGGTGCCTATAGTCCCAGCTACTCAGGAGACTGAGGCAAGAGAATCACCTAAGCCTTGGAGGTTGCAATCACCAAAGCATTGGAGGTTGCTTTGA